GAGGTTCGTCTGAAGTACGAACGCGAGGTTCGTCTGAAGTACGAACGCGAGGTTCGTCTGAAGTACGAACGCGAGGTTCGTCTGAAGTACGAACGCGAGGTTCGTCTGAAGTACGAACGCGAGGTTCGTCTGAAGTACGAACGCGAGGTTCGTCTGAAGTACGAACGCGAGGTTCGTCTGAAGTACGAACGCGAGGTTCGTCTGAAGTACGAACGCGAGGTTCGTCTGAAGTACGAACGCGAGGTTCGTCTGAAGTACGAACGCGAGGTTCGTCTGAAGTACGAACGCGAGGTTCGTCTGAAGTACGAACGCGAGGTTCGTCTGAAGTACGAACGCGAGGTTCGTCTGAAGTACGAACGCGAGGTTCGTCTGAAGTACGAACGCGAGGTTCGTCTGAAGTACGAACGCGAGGTTCGTCTGAAGTACGAACGCGAGGTTCGTCTGAAGTACGAACGCGAGGTTCGTCTGAAGTACGAACGCGAGGTTCGTCTGAAGTACGAACGCGAGGTTCGTCTGAAGTACGAACGCGAGGTTCGTCTGAAGTACGAACGCGAGGTTCGTCTGAAGTACGAACGCGAGGTTCGTCTGAAGTACGAACGCGAGGTTCGTCTGAAGTACGAACGCGAGGTTCGTCTGAAGTACGAACGCGAGGTTCGTCTGAAGTACGAACGCGAGGTTCGTCTGAAGTACGAACGCGAGGTTCGTCTGAAGTACGAACGCGAGGTTCGTCTGAAGTACGAACGCGAGGTTCGTCTGAAGTACGAACGCGAGGTTCGTCTGAAGTACGAACGCGAGGTTCGTCTGAAGTACGAACGCGAGGTTCGTCTGAAGTACGAACGCGAGGTTCGTCTGAAGTACGAACGCGAGGTTCGTCTGAAGTACGAACGCGAGGTTCGTCTGAAGTACGAACGCGAGGTTCGTCTGAAGTACGAACGCGAGGTTCGTCTGAAGTACGAACGCGAGGTTCGTCTGAAGTACGAACGCGAGGTTCGTCTGAAGTACGAACGCGAGGTTCGTCTGAAGTACGAACGCGAGGTTCGTCTGAAGTACGAACGCGAGGTTCGTCTGAAGTACGAACGCGAGGTTCGTCTGAAGTACGAACGCGAGGTTCGTCTGAAGTACGAACGCGAGGTTCGTCTGAAGTACGAACGCGAGGTTCGTCTGAAGTACGAACGCGAGGTTCGTCTGAAGTACGAACGCGAGGTTCGTCTGAAGTACGAACGCGAGGTTCGTCTGAAGTACGAACGCGAGGTTCGTCTGAAGTACGAACGCGAGGTTCGTCTGAAGTACGAACGCGAGGTTCGTCTGAAGTACGAACGCGAGGTTCGTCTGAAGTACGAACGCGAGGTTCGTCTGAAGTACGAACGCGAGGTTCGTCTGAAGTACGAACGCGAGGTTCGTCTGAAGTACGAACGCGAGGTTCGTCTGAAGTACGAACGCGAGGTTCGTCTGAAGTACGAACGCGAGGTTCGTCTGAAGTACGAACGCGAGGTTCGTCTGAAGTACGAACGCGAGGTTCGTCTGAAGTACGAACGCGAGGTTCGTCTGAAGTACGAACGCGAGGTTCGTCTGAAGTACGAACGCGAGGTTCGTCTGAAGTACGAACGCGAGGTTCGTCTGAAGTACGAACGCGAGGTTCGTCTGAAGTACGAACGCGAGGTTCGTCTGAAGTACGAACGCGAGGTTCGTCTGAAGTACGAACGCGAGGTTCGTCTGAAGTACGAACGCGAGGTTCGTCTGAAGTACGAACGCGAGGTTCGTCTGAAGTACGAACGCGAGGTTCGTCTGAAGTACGAACGCGAGGTTCGTCTGAAGTACGAACGCGAGGTTCGTCTGAAGTACGAACGCGAGGTTCGTCTGAAGTACGAACGCGAGGTTCGTCTGAAGTACGAACGCGAGGTTCGTCTGAAGTACGAACGCGAGGTTCGTCTGAAGTACGAACGCGAGGTTCGTCTGAAGTACGAACGCGAGGTTCGTCTGAAGAACGAACGCGAGGTTCGTTAAAAAATTGAGCTTGACGCTCACCTGAGTTGAACGCGAGGTTCACCTTAGAACGAACGCGAGGTTCGTTAAAATTGAGCTTGACGCTCACCTGAGTTGAACGCGAGGTTCACCTTAGAACGAACGCGAGGTTCGTTAAAATTGAGCTTGACGCTCACCTGAGTTGAACGCGAGGTTCACCTTAGAACGAACGCGAGGTTCGTTAAAATTGAGCTTGACGCTCACCTGAGTTGAACGCGAGGTTCACCTTAGAACGAACGCGAGGTTCGTTGAGCGCGAAGCTCGGTTAAAATTGAACGAACGCGAGGTTCGTTTGAGGTAACCACCTCCTTAATTTTCGCCATGAACCCTTAGGGTTTCAAATTGAAACCGCCGCCGACAAACCCAAAAAACCTTTGATTTTTATTTTCAAAACAGATCCAGAATTGGAAAAAATTGAAGGAAAAATCAAAGAATTAGAGAATGTTACTGTTCATCCGAAAAAATACTTTACTGTTCATCCGAAAAATACTGTTCACCGGCGATTTTTCAGTTACTGTTCATCCGAAAAAATACTTTACTGTTCATCCGAAAAAAATTTCGTTACTGTTCATCCGAGAATATTACTGTTCATCCGAACCCAAAAATTGAATCTTTCACCAGAAATTTAAGATCAAAAACCCAATAAAACTTAAATCCCTAAGAATTAATCAAGGTGGCTCTGATACCACTTGTTAGATCTACATCATAAAACTTGAGATCTAAAACCATATAGCCATGATTAATTCAAAGAGATTAACAAGGATCTAAAAGAGCGGAAGCTTATACCTGAATCCATTGCTTGATCTTGATTTTGGGTGTTGGATCTTCTAACCTTAGGGTTCTCTCTAAAACCGAATTTCTCTAGCTAGATGGGGGTGTAGAGAATTAGAGAATGTTACCCTAGGTTAGGGACCATAACCCCTTATTTATAGATGTTGTACTTTTGTAATTTAGCCCCTCAATAAATTACAATTACAACCTGGTATCTGCACATATGACCCCATGATCATTTAAATACCAAATTAACCCAACTTAATTGATCACTTTAGTGGGTTATCCTGAAAGATAGCAATACACATTGTTTAATCATATGTGCCCACAAATAGATTTATTAGATTAAATCCAACAATCTCCCACTTGGGCACCATATGATTCCTTAAACTGTGTATAACCTTAAACTGTGTAGAAAAATGTGAGACACAAGTTAGCTTTTTTTTTTCTTAGATGGAGGCTCAGGGTGTAGATAAATGTGAGACACAAGTTACCTTTTTTTATTACATTACGAAGACTTTCTTCCTACAACAATATTTTTGCTTACATTACAAGGACTTTCTTCCTTACACAAAACTTTGTTCGCTATTACAATGTCCTCAATGTTTTTTTCATAAGCTTTGAGAACATATAATACTATTTATTTTGTAAGTAAATAATATAATTTACTTAAGATAGAAAAAGTTAACTTCTCTTAAGCGTATATTATTGATTACAATATGTTATTTTATCCCTTTTCACCTCTTTTTTTTTTTGAAATGATATCCATTTTCACCTTAGCTTTTTCATTTTACTGTAATAACATTAATATTGATATGGTACAAGAATCATTGATCCAAGCACGCAATATTTTGAGCTAAAAGGTGAGCAAAAACTCTGATGTGCTATCAAGTATTTAACTAAACCATCCAAAGGAATAAAAGTAAACAAATCA